GGTCAACCAATCACGCACCGCGGTATCGCGTGTCATCATACCTGCAGTATCTGTACTGCGGTGTCTGTACCGCGCACTTTGAATGGCTGCATCTGTAGCTTTAATTTAAGACATGAACTACGCTTCTACTCTATAAACTTCCAGAGATATTACAAAATGTTTGAAGGAGCATCATACCAGGTGGAAATTGACTCTTTTTCCAGAGACAATAAAGTGTTACAATTTAAAGTGGATGTGTTGTGATATACAAATAAATTGAATTTAAAGATGCACAGTAGAGAATCAATCATTTCACTAGCACCACACATGTTACTAATGATCATATTTGGCCAGTGAATCACACAACGTAATGTGAGTTGATGTGCATTCTGAGTGGCTGCATATGTATGCCCTGCAATGAACTGGTGTACTGTCCAGCATGTATCTTGCCTTGTGCCCATTGTTTGGATAGGATAGGCTCTGGCTCCACTGTCATCCTTTACCGGATAAATTGGTTAGAAAATGGATGAATGGAAGCTCTTGCTGTATTGATGAAAATTTTGCTAATTTCTTTTTGTTTTAAAAGCCTGTGGAAAGAGAATTGTCTTTCGGAAGATGGAATGGAAAGTGGTAGGAGGAAATAACTCTGAAGAAGGAGCCTGGCCTTGGATAGTATCTCTTCATTTCAGGGGACGCCATATATGTGGAGGCACTCTCATCAGTGAAGACTGGGTGGTGACTGCAGGTCACTGTGTCTATGGGTAAAGGGCTTAAATATTTGGCCTTTTTGTAAGTAACAGCTAGTAATTGTATGTCACTGTGTCTGTGGCCATTGTGACACTATGGAGCATGACCATCCCTTTCAAGCACAAAACAGGTGTCCACATTGGCTGACATGCCCATCACAGACTTTTGGGGAACTTTTTTTTGTGGTTTTCCCCCCATCCCAGATGCGCTCTTTTCTGAGACATGAGACATTATTTTTCTCGGCTCATGGATTCTCAGGCTCAGAGTCACCTACATACATGCCTTAGTCCTTTTCATACTTTCTTGAGGTTAATTCAAATTGCTGAGCCTTTCACTGGCAAACACTCAGGCTCAACATATCTCACCTCTGTTTGTCTCTCTCAAATGCCAGTCCCTGTTTGAGTGTAGCAGTGGAAGACTCTCAAACTCAGTTGTTCCCACTTGGCAGGACCCACTCTACCACCTTCATTATCTTATCAGCAGGCCAACATGGCAACAATAGAGCTTACTACTCATCATGAGTCTTCCCTGCACCTTGATGTCTGTATCTTAGTTTAGAAGCATCCCTGCTCCTAGATACCAGCCTTCTGCTTCCCTTATCTGGAGACTGCTGCTCCCTGATATAAAAAAAACATTTTTCTTGGAGGCTCCAGCTCCCTGCTGTTACTCTCTTATGCAGGCTACTGGCCCATTTACTCTGTGCTAGTCAGATCTCAGACTTTCAGGTCTACCTTTACCTATTGATATCTCTTTCCTATGCCACTAAGCTGGGTCTGAGACTCACAACAGTCACCAGAGTCTCAACCTCACACCCAAACACCCTTATTTCTCAACCTCCCAATGACTTATCCTTTTCTCCCAGGCCTGCAGCCAGATAGACTCTTTCTCCCACCTGATACTTTGTATTTCCAGGGTTAGGGCCCGTCTAGCACACTCTTGTAATCTGGACTATTCACACAATTCTTCAAAACTTCCAATTCAACTCTCTTGTGTGGTGGGCCTACTGTCTTTACACTAAAACTTACAGATACAACTTCTGGCACATATACCCCCCGTGCAGACCTGACTTCTTTCTCACATACCTGCTTCACTGGCACACTCATACTGTTGCCACTGCATGCCTTCCACCAGAGTTCAGCAGCTGAATAGACTCTTTTTCTCCACCCAATAATTCATAATGCCAGGGTGATGACCCCTTACCACGCCTACCTCCCGGAACACACACTAATTCATATATGAGACACTGATTTTCACAATACTCACAAAGCAGACCTTTCACCAACAGCCCTTGTTCTCTTACTCCAGAACATGCTGTCTCTTTAAAATCAAAACATTTTCTTCTCAACATTACAGATGTTTATACTTCCCTATCTCCTCTGACATTGCTGCTGTTACTCTCCCCTTACAGCACAGCATGCTTCACCATGGCCACACTTACTGCCATGCCTATGTCTCAGCATGAGTTAGGTGGATACATTTTACATTCATGCATATCAAACAGGAGAACTAAACTTATATCTTCTCCATCCTGAAACTATCCCAGAACTGACAGACAGGCTGTTTTTCCCCACAAAAAAATATTCAGTCTGTTAGTCTAGGGACACACCCAGCTGTATCTTGTAAGTTTACAGACTCCTTCAGCAGTTGTTGAGTAGCAATGCACGCTTCACTAACAAGATCTCTGCCTCCCTGTATTATATCACACCCTATAGAGCACACTCCTTGTAGAGGGTGTTATATTCTCCTATTAAACATTTTACTCTCTGAGACCTTATTTTTCAGTTTATATAGTGTCTTTCAGAGGTATTGGGACAGCAAAGTCTAAATTGTTTATTTTGATTTTTAGGAAAGCAATTTATATTTGTGAGAATGAGATTAACTAGATAACGTCTGTGAGCTCACCAGACACTTTGTGTAATCATTTTAGATGGTTTGTCAAGTCATTATTCTAGCCACTTTGAATTAATTAAAAATGGCTGTTTAGGGATGTTCTGATTTAATTTTCTCTTCAGTGTGTAAAATGCATGCTCAATTGGATTTAAATCATATTGAGATTGGCCTGCCTAGTCTAAGATTTTTTTCCTTTTTCCCCAAATGAATTATTTGCTTGAATTAGTAATACAGTACAGGATGTTGTATGCCCAATACATATCCATTTTCTTCTACAAAAGTAATTTGTTAATGTGACCTTCAGAATTCATCCTGCTGCTACCATCATTAGTTACATTATAAATGAAGATAAGTCAGTCTTTGACTTTGGTGAAAGTTCATCACTGTTTCAAAACTTTCATGGCTCGTCTTATACTGCCAAGCAAATTCTAATAAACTTTTCTGTTATTGGTGATAATGAAAGGTTTATGTCATGTGACATACCGTAGTCTTTGTAATTATGCTGTCTCAGTTGTCTGTATTCTATGGATTTACAATACTTTATTGCAGCACTCTGGAGGATATTGGTGATATCTCTGACTGTGCTTTAAGGTTTTAATTAAGTGCTCTGGGAATTTTTCAGTCACCAACAGAATATGTTTTTCATCCTGGTTTTGGTCCTGTAATACTTGTGATTTTTTCTCAGCATTTACTAAATTGTTGATCTTGAGATCATAATAGATAATATCTAGATGATATATGGAGGCAGCACTGGCAACTCATACCCCCACAAGGTAGAAAGGCTTTTCCCAGGCCTATAATACTTTACTTTTTTGCAAACGAGCAGTGAGCTAGTCCATTAATCCACATCTGGTACAGAATCTATATTAATCTCCAAGTAACATTATTCTTATCACTTGTTTAACAATGGTGTGCATGACTGGTAACTATACAAATTTGTGTGTATACTGCAACTTTATAAACTTAATGTCTAATGCTGTGCACTTCAGTGTATTGTTTACTCCATATTACATACTTTACCATATTACCTATCCCTGTTAGCATACTTAGTTGTGCATATTAATACAAAAATAAAGAGCTTATTTAAATTCAATGAGAACCTTAATGGTTCGGCTTGACTGTAATGCTTTCTTTGCATCACTTCTTCACAAAACTGATAGTTTTAAAATGAATGAAAAAGAAAGGCATATCCTCTTGTCATTAAAATGCTTACCATTCCAATATACTTTTATATGACATTACAGGAGAAACATCCATTTCACAGAATGGGAAGCACTGATCGGTCTTCACACACAGTTAAACCTAAGTTCTCCAAACACAGTAATCCGCCGGATTGACCGCATTGTGATGAACCCACAATACAACAAGAGAACAAAAGATGGTGACATTGCTATGATGCACCTTGACTTAAGCATCAAACTAACAGGTAATGTCTTTTTGATTCCACATTTGAATTAATACAAAATACATTGATATGTGATTTTTGTCATATGCTGTACTTGATAGCTATTAACAACTATGCTCCATTACACACAGACATTCATACATACAGAAACCTCTCAGACAAGGTAAGCCACCAGAAGCAACTAAGAGATTAGTTGAGAACCTCAACAGAGTTGCTTTGTTTGAATTTCACAATATATTACTGATATACAAACCTAGTAATGAATTTCAGCGAATGTATGGTTTTTAATAAGGTGTTGATTTAACATATATACTGTATATATATATATACAGTGCCCTCCAGAATTATTGGCACCCTTGGTAAAGATGAGCAAAAAAGGCTAAGAAAAAATGTCTGTTGTTTATCAGCTTGATCTTACACTGAAAATATGAGAGAAATCTAACCTTTCAGTGAGGTAAAATTATTAAAAGAAAATAAATCCTTATAAAAAATTAACATTTTTCTCAAAAACACATGTGTCACAGTTATTGGCACCCCTGCGTTTAGTACTTTGTGCACCCTTCCTTTGCCAAGATAACAGCACTGAGTCTTCTCTAAAGGGGTCTGAGACCGTTCCTCCATACAAAATCTCTCCAGATTCTTCACAGTCCTTGGTCCTCGCTTGTGGACTCTCTTCTTCAGCTCGCCACACAGGTTTTCAATGTGGTTTAGGTCAGGGGACTGACATGGCCACTGCAAAAGCATGACTGTGGTCAGTGAACCATTTCTCTGTGTATTTAGAGATATGCTTTGTATCATTGTCCTGCTGGAAGATCCAACCATGACCCAGTCTTAGCTTACTGGCAGAGGCAGCCAAATTGTGATCTAAAATCTGCTAGTATTTGATGGAGTCCATGATGCCATGTATCCTAACATATTTCACAGTGGGTACTAGGTTCTTTTTTGCATGACCTTGACTCTTTCTTCTGGCAAGCCTTCCAAATAATTTGTTGGCATGGAGGTGGCGTCTAATTGTAGTTTTGGAGACTTGGTGACCCCAGGATGCAACCAACTCCTGCAATTGTCCAACTGTGATCTTAGGAGAAAGTTTTGCCTCTCAAACCATCTTCCTCACTGTGTGTGTGGGCCAAATACACTTGCGTCCTCTTCCAGGCAGGTTCATCAGAGCTCCAGTTGTTTGAAACTTCTTAATTATTGCCCTACTAGTAGAGATGGGTATTTTAAGGTGTGAAGCTATTTTTATAGCCATTGCCTGATTAATGAAGGTCAACAACCTTTTGTCTCATTTCATTTTTGTATTCTCTGGTCTGCCCCATGTTGATGGATGACTAAGGGTGTTTGGCCTGCCTGTTACCTCATATTTATGTCCCAGTGAAACGGGAAGGCATGGATAGACACTTAAGAGTTCCTAAAGACTCAGGTGTGCTTACAAAAGGTAAAATATGAATAAGATAAGATCACTTTATTAGCCATATACAATTTCTTGCATTAGAAATTTGTCTTTTTTGCATACCCCAGCTTGCTCTCAATGAGACACACAGACAGAGAGAAGCTTGGGGTCAGAGCATAGGGTCAGCCATTGGACAGCACCCCTGGAGCAGTTGGGGTTTAGGGCATTGCCTAGCAGAGTAGAATTCCTCTGCTGAACGTGGGATTTGAACTGGCAATCTTTCAGCCACAGGCGCAGATCCTTAGCCATAGAGCCGCTGCTCCGCAGTGACATATAATTGACATAAATGGGAATATATGTCAGTTAGATTTGGTTCATAGGAATTTCTAGGGGTGCCTATAATTGTGACACCTGTGTTTTTGAGAAAAATGATTATTTTTTATCAGCCTTTTTTTTTTCTTTGAGTAAGTTTTCCTCACTGAAAGGTAAGGTTTCCCTCATATTTTCAGTGTAAGACCAAGCCGATAAACAACAAAGATTTTTTCATAGCTTTTTTTGCTCATCTTTACCAAGGGTGCCAATAATTTTTTTTTAGGGCACTGGATGTGTGTGCGTCTATTACTAGAACGTGTATCATCCCACTGGGCAGATACATGTTGAGCCAGAATTTTAGGATTTTGAATTAATACAGACAAGTGTTAGTTCTATTTTGAGTTGGGAACTGGGTATAAGTACAACATTTCATTCTAAAATCTAGAGGTCGATACCTCATACTAAGCATGCTGGTTTATTACAGGGTATCAAAGCAATCCATTCAAATTTAATTTGATTAATGCTTTATTTTAAATCACAGTGAATCGTTGAGAAGGAATAACTTGTGAAATGAGCTATACAACTACAATGCATATGTCCTTGCAGTCTTCTCACTACAAAAAACAAAGTGGGCAAAAAACTTTTCTGAATTTTACCGGTGTCACTCTGATCTCAGGTTCTTGGTTCATTTCAGTTCAACTATTACATCAGCCATAACAGCAATTCCGGGCTCTCAGACCACTGGCTTTTGTGTGAGCCTTGATAACACCTGTGTTTCAGATGTGTGTAGCTGAATAATTTTTTTAAGGTTTCAGAAATTTCAGAAAACTTTTAACAATGGTATGAATTAGTTTTCTTCCTATTGCACCCTCATGCAACTAAGAAATTTGACCTTTCATATATATTAAACTTGTTTGTGATATCACTATTCTGAACAGCTGTAAAATTAATACACAATTCTGATTAAAAGTCTGCTTTTAAAGTTAACTGAACTCAGCTGAATTCAGGATTTTGCTGGGGGTATATTGTGTAACTGTCTCTTGGTTCTTTGAATATTCTGCCATTTCTGAAAACCTCTTAATGATGTATCCATGCAGATTATATCCAGCCAATATGTCTTCCTGAGAAGGAGCATGAGTTTCCTGCAGGAACAGTGTGTGTGATAGCAGGGTGGGGACGAGAAGAAGAACAAGGTGATTATTGGACTTTTCATTTTAATACACTGCATTCAAAATAATGTAGCATTATTGTGTTTGTTTGGTTGTAAAGATTGCAGTAACATCAGAGAATAGCTTGTGAGACACGAAGCTTGAATTGATCTTGTTGTTTTAAAAAAGACACTGGTCAAGACAACTTTAATGTTCATAAAATGTAAATTAAGACAAAAAATACATTCAGGGGATGTATACTTTGAAATCTAATGTTCAGCTTGCCTCACAAACTATGTGGAACATCTTCCCAACAAGTTAATTTGGTTCTATTTCTCTACAATCCCACAACAGTTAAATCTCTCAGGACAGATGATTATAAAACACATACATATTACATCTATAATAACCGATTAAAATAAAGCATATATACATAGTCATCTCTCACTCAACAAAAATAAAGCAAAAATATAGATGCAGTCACTCAGGAAGTGCATTAGAGGCTCTGCATCATGGTGTGGTGTACTTCGGCTGTGTGATTCATTGACCAAAGACGACGATGGTTGATCTTTGAAGGTGGCTCTTGTGGTTTGTTAGATGTGAAACAATTGCTTGTTTTAATCTGTTTCCCTACTTCTTTAAATATTAATATGGATATATGTACCTAAAGGGATATTTTGGTAGCTGAAAATAAAAATAATGGGAGTATAATGTCTCTGAAGATCATAAACAATATTATTTTAGGAATATAAATATATTATACATAAATATATAAATATATTATAATGTATATATAATAAAAATATATAAATATATTATTATTATATATAAATATATTATATTGTAGTAGTGGTAGCTAAAAATAAAGTATTCCACCTTCTTCATAAACATTTTCTGTATCAAAGTCTTTAACTCTTTCACTTACTGTGGTTATTTTGGAAAAGTTTTGACATGCTTGTTCTTATTATATAAAGATTAATACAATACTATTCATACTTTATATTGTAATTGTTATAAAAAGTTGTACTACTTTTTAAAATACACTTAATAGGGAATATTAATATGGAATAATGGAACTAAAAGGAAATTCTAGTAGCTACAAATAAAAATAACTAAAGTATAATAATGTCTCTTAATACCATCAACAATATTAAGTTATTAATAATAAATAATACAAAAATAATATACATATGTAGTAGTATAGTATAGCTAAAAATAAATATATACTGTATATATATGGTACAAAACAGTATTCCACGTTCTTCATTAACAGTTTCTACTTTTATTTCTCGGTCACTTGCTGTGGTTATTTTAGAAAAGTGTATTTGTGCTCTTTTACTTACATGTGTTATAATAGAAAATGAAACACAAATCATTGGCAGCTCAGAGGTAGGAAGTAGGATGCGTTATAATGTAATAGGGTCTTTTTTAACAAAATGTCCCTTGGGCATAATAAAGACTTTCTCTAACAATAATGTAACATGTAAACTATATATACATTTCAGTTTTATTTTATATATCACAGTCAGCCTAATGTCAAAATAATATTAATAATAAAGTAATAACATGAACCTCCAGAACAACAATCTCCAGGATGCTTGGAAAGAGCAAGGGAATTTGAAAAGATGCCCATAAACAGAAATAGCAATTGAGTGTTTTAAGTGTATACATATATATTTAATTTTAAATAAAAAAATAAAGACATACAGAATATTTTGAGTATTTTAAATTACAAAATTTAAATTATAAATTTTAGTTTTTTATACATATCTTTTTTGCTGCCTTTTTTTCTTCTTAGTAAGAATATAAAGATCCAGCCATTCAAAATGCACAGAGTATGCTGTGTCTAAACATGGTAGGCATGGGGCATCATACCTCATTATACCGCTAGCAAATTGAAATATGATAATATGATAATAGTATCTGGAATCACCTGGTAAAACCTTGTAAAACTGCCAAGTGGAGCTAATAAAGCTTAATGTCTCATGTATAGCATTTGAGCTGTCGCCAGAAAACGCCCAGTTACGAATCCTGGTCACTGCAGAGGAACAATCTTTTTCCAATTAAGAATTTAAGTTGTATACTCTTAAGACTTTTAATAATTTTAAACTGTGTATTACAGTATGTTAATCATTAAACATTAAAAAGTATATTTTATAAAAGCAAGATTGATCAGTTGGACAAAAGTACTCAACTTTCAACCTTCATCATAAATATTTTAATTATTCATAAATATTTTATACATCAATGTCTTTAACTTGGTAACTTAGTGGGTTAAGGTTTTAACGTGTTTGCTCTAACACTATAAAGGTTATATTCTGTACTTTATGAAAACGTTTTATCCTTTTCTAAGAATATGTAATAAGAACACCACTGTTATTGTAAAAAGATAAATGTCGTAGTGATTTAACATCACTTGATAGTTATATGAATATGGAATCATGTAACTAAGCAGCTAAAATATCACAGTTGGACATTTTGGAAACATTTCGACATCCATTTCTTTTTAAAAAAACTTTTATTGTCCTTGTAGTGGTAATGGACAAAGCACTGCACCCAAAGGTTCAAAGCAAGATCAGAATATTACTTTCGATTTGTTTCTTATATAGTGAATACATAAAAATAGTCCACTATTATAGCTTGTTGTTGGCTTTGGCGTGAATTTGTGTATTTGGATAAATAAGTGATGGTATTGTGATTAAGGATTTCTTCACGAAGCAAAGGAGGGAAGAAGGGTTATTTTCACAATTGGCACTCCGAGATTCTGACTGATTTAATTCCCCTCATTTAGGTGAAATGGATTTAAAAAAATCATGCAGTTGTTATATGTATTGGAAGGCGCTCTGTTTTATTAACAGACACTCTGACTCAAACCTGTGTTGTACAGTGATATAGACGTAGGTAATATCACCCCATTAAAAAATGTGTTTATCGCTCAAATCTTGCTAAACTAGAAATTAGACACAAGAACAGTATAATCGGACAATATTGTGTGGCTCTGGTGGAATTTCTGTGCAAACTAAAGAGTTATAGAGACACGATGTGTATCGCCTCTTTTTACACTTGTAAGAACATTCCAATGGTAATGCAACATGGAAGATATTATTAATAACCTTTTATATCTGAAGCTGGTAACTCTACTTCACACCTGCATGTCAAGATCACGGTTTCAAAATAAAAAAAAAACATTAAAACTTTGATTGGATTAAAATTTCATGATCGTTTCACAAGGATGTGAAATGTGACAATTTGTTACAGTTACCATCGGGAGAAAAAAAATATTTATTTGTGGCTACTGCAGTGCTTAAGTGAAAAATTTATTGAAATTTGTTGAAAATAAACATATAAAGTTCTCTAAAGCTTTTTAAGTCAAGTACGAGAATTTACGTAGAGGGCTGTGTAAGCATGTGTAGGCAGCAAAAGATTAGCTAGAGAGGGAAGAAAACGCTTTCAGATAAAACAATGTTTCAGGTGTGAAGAATACATATCCCCAATTCAATATCATCCTTAAATTTTCCACGCAACCCCTGCCCCCGCTGTGATTGGAATATACACAAACAAAGCACTGTAAGCTTTACAGTAGATGATCTGGCTTTTGATCTGGCAGTAGAATTCTGGCTTTATGAACTCACACCTGGGATATAAGTTTAAAAAAAAAAAACTGTACCAGGTACTAGATCTTGTTTATATTAACTTTATATCAGTGGGCAGTGGTGGACAGTTAGTGTACGGTGCACTATTTTACAAAGAGTTGCATATATCAAGAG